TGCTGTGATTGGCTGTGTCCAAATGCACCGTGTCCAAGTGCACCGCTCCCAGCTAAACTGTCGCCAGATATGCTACAGAGCTTGTAGTCAAATAATTGCTGCAGATTTGCAGCAAAAACCGCGCAGAGTTTGTAGCAATCTGATGGTAGATTGGCCGCAGAAATCGCGCAGACCTTGCTGCGCTGCAGACTGTGCGCAGTTTTTGCTGCAAATCTGCAGCAATTGCCCGACAGCAAGCTTTGTCGCCAAAACCGAATGAAAACACAGATGGCTATGGTTTTGGTGTAAATTTCTGATAAAATTTGCTGCTAATTTGCGTACAGTCTGCGCTCAATTTGCTTACTGGGCATTAGATTTCCATCATGGAGATTCAAAACCTCTAATAGACGTCCATAGAAAATCCACAAAGCCTCCACTCAAGGGAGTGGTGCACTTGGACACGGTGCATTTGGACACAGCCAATCACAGCACCGTGTGATTAGAGACATTTGTAGGGTCCCTTGGAACAGCGACTTGTGATTGGACTGTGTCCAATTGCCCCGTGTCCAACTGATACACACCCTCCACTCAACATCCAAATGTCCGCATCTTGGACCTCCATTAAACTTCCAGTGGGCGTTCTAATAATATTGTTACGTACGTGTGTAACACGAAAATAAGGACAACACGAAGTTTCGCGGAACAAATAAGAACTCTATTTCAAATTATATACAAGCGGAACGTTTTAAGAAAATCCAGAGAAATTAATAGACACATCCGCTGTCAAGCGCAATCTCTTTCAAACTGAAACACTTCGTTGCCGTAACAAACAGCTGATCCGTTTACACTTCGTTGCCGCAGCAAACAGCTGACCGGAGCCGATCGACTCCCGCGAACGACAACTGACGATCGAGATCAGGCGACGCACGTAACAATATTATACAATATCACAGTAATATTGCAATATCTCAGTAATATTACATAATTTCACTCAGGAAAAATGAAGTATTATTTTGTCTAAATAACAAAAAAAACTTGCATTTCATATTTTGTGTCGTTTCATTTATTCATAAGATTCACGTGGATTCGATCCCGTGTCAGACAGCACACATTCTTTAGGGTGCGTTCAGATTCCTCATCCGGGTGCACTCTATTACTAGAAACACTATAGTGTATGTGACATATATTATAGCACTTCTAGTAATAGATTACACCCGGGTGGGGAATCTGAACGCAGCCTTAGATGACTTTGCTCTTCAATGCTTAACTTCAACGATCGTCGGGAACTGGTGATACCACTGCGCTGTAACAATATCTTGGTGGATTGTATTTACGATATACTTTTATAGCGTTCAAAAGTATAATATAATATAATGACATATTTGTCGATAAATGTTTCAAAGGACGTAATAACAATTATAATGCTATTAATATTAATACAATGTTGTATAAGTAATCAAACTTTAAGCCCATTCTACAGTTGCGTAAGCGTATCGTGAACGTAAGAGTCAACCAATCCGAATGTTTTATTCACTGATTGCTTTACTCTGATTGATTGTCGTAATCACTTACAACCACTTACATCCACGTTCACGCAATTGTAGAATGGGCTTAACATACAACGCCCAGATAGCATAGAGATGAACAGAAGTTCCTAGAGAATTCATTTTAAAGAATAGATATAGAATTAGAAAAATGAATACCCGAAGAATTCTTGAAGAATTAACCACAGTAAGTTCGTCTTGAAATATTCCTTAGGACTTCATTATAGCGAATACTTCGCAACTTAATTCCTAGAATACTTTGAGAATTCATGAGGAATTAGGGCTAAGGCAGAGAACGAGACGTAAGCGTCGTAATCGTAGACGTAAAGTAAAGCAGAGGAAAACGCAAGCGTAAGGCTAATAGCCTTTCATGATTTACGTTTATGTTTTTCTCTGCTTTATTTTACGTCTACGACTATGACGCTTATGTCTCGTTCATCTACCTTAACCCATACAAATGTTTTGTTTATAGCAATTATTTTTTGCGCCTATATTCAGTACATGCCAGTGAGTGTATAATAATTAATTTATATATGGTCCTTTCCATAGAAGGAGGAGGGCATACTAGGTGGCGGCGGGAAGCCGTGCGTTCGAGATCTGCGTATCTTTTTCGTTCCAGAAAAAGAAAAATATCGAGAGCACGGTCCTGCTAGGCCGGGACTCGAACCCGGGTCTTTCGCTTGCCGGGCGACTGTTCTAAACCACTGAGCTACCTGACGCTCTACGCTCACGACACTCTCCTCTTCTTAGATAACGCTCAGAGATGCCGTTCGGAAGCAACATCTCTGGCGCGATCCCGAGCGCACGGCGACTACAGAGAGAAACAATGTTACTGTACCAAATAGTACAGCTATCAGTCTCTCAAAGTCAAAGGTTGCTATCCTTTAAGACCTGCTGTCCATGTATGCCAGTCTCCACCGTTGCCCCTCCTCATCCGGTGCAAATAATACAAATAAGCCCCGGGGTCGATCCCAGCCGAGTCTGATGTTTTTCATCTCATATGGCATTAAAAGTGGACATCTACAGATACATACAAGCACCCTCGGCCAAAGTTTCTGATCTTTCTTTCGTGTGGATACAATAAAATTTATTAAATCCGAAGAAATCTTTTTGAGTTGAAGTAATTCTATATAAATACTCTAAGAAGTTCTGAGGAATTCCAATCATGGTGCATGTAACTTCTTAAATCATTCTTATATTCTTCCACGAATTCCTAAGAAAGTACAATTCAGGAAAGGAGAAAACTTTAGGAACACTTAAAGAATTCAGCGTGCTATCTGGATGTGCTCGCAAAAGAGAAAGAATATTTTTTCCTTCTCTCTTGCAATATTTTAACAGAGTAATTATTCTATAATTGAGTTCTCAATTAAGATCTCAGCTGGATTTTTTCAGTAGGGTAAATAGAACACAAAGTCATAAAAATCAAAATGACGTCAAATGATATAAAAGTAATA